TGTGTTCCTATACTTCTTTCCACAAGTTATATGAGCATTAATTTAACACTCTTCTGTGTGAAGCACCACCTAATCGCTAAGAGTTTTGTCTCTGCAACCGGATTGCCTATGTTTAAACCTTGACTCTAGAATGCCAGTCATCAATATCATATGATGCTAAGCAGTGGGTTAACCTCTCTAAGCCCTGTTGTCCTTACCTGTAAATTGGTCATTATTGTCCATGCCTTCAGATGGTTTTCCTGGGTGGATTGAATGAGATAATCCACACAAAGCACTAAGAACAGTGCCTGACAATGTAACCTTTTGGCCTTTCCAGTAAGTTTGGTTTTACTGGCCCCAATTTCCCTCTGTTGGAAGACTTCTAAAAAGAGTTTTATGATAATGGACTGCTATAGCAATTTTATTTCAGATTTATGACATATCCTTAGTATCTTATTTTGTTCATTTTTTATCTTTATTTAAGAACATTTATAATATAGAACCCATGCTAGTAGTCACTAAAAAGCTACCAGTTCTTCCACAGGTCTAAATAGTTAAATAGACATTGGGTACCTTGCATATTTATTCATTCATTTAATTCACTCATTCTCTCAGACACGTGCCAGGTAGGCTGAGAGGAATAAGGGGATACCACATCAGTGTTCTAACTATATCTACAAGAAGGTGGGCAAAATATAGTGCCCAAACTGGTTTTTGATCTTCTATCTTGTGTGAATGCTAGCTGTGGTAGGAATTAAAATAATGGCGTGTAGAATTCCGAATATTCCACTGTTAGTCCCTTGTAATCTGCTAACATTTAACACTTAAATGGTTGTGGACTAGAATAGCAGAATGGGCCAAAAATCCTGTCAATGAATGCAAGCGGATCTTAAGCAGCTTATTGAAATAAAAAAAAAGGGGGGGTAAAGTTTAAAAAATGTATTCAGCCTTTATTCTGTAATGAGAAGAAAAATGCCAGTGCTTTAATTATAAACATGATTTCCTAAAGCATTCCAAGTTTTCCTTGGAGACTTTCAGGGCCAGGGATTGACTATCCTTGTGCCTGCTTGGATAGAAAAGGGCTTGATAAAACTGCTGTGTCCTCTGGCATGGTTTAATCACTTAATACCTTGTTCCAATTGAAAACATAACCAACCCTATTCAGATGATGGAACATCTACACTTGATCTGCCTATGGCTTGTGCAGTCACTGATATTTCCAAGGCAAGTCTTGTGATTATCAAAATGGAAATTAATTTCATAGACTTGAGGCCAAACTAAAAAAAATGTTCATCGTAGTAATCTGCTGATGATGATTCCTGAAAATATTGCTCAGAGTAAATAAACTCAGCATCAGCCTGGAAGAATGGGTCTAGGTGAGGACTGCATATTGGGAATAGAGGTGAGACTGGGGACCAGGGGTGAAGAATTGAGCAAAGATTCTTTGTTACTGGAGAAAAAGCCTCAACAATACTATCAGAGAGTATATATTTTTGTAGTTATTGATTCTTATAACCACTGAAATGAACCAGCTGTCTTCCACAGAAAGTTATCAAATTATCAAAGGTATTAATTTACCAACTTCAATAACTGAAGGAAAATTTAAGCTTGCTTTAGGGGCATGAAATTCTTATAAATAACATCATTCCTGAGAACATCGTTTCCTATAACTACAAGCAGTAGCACTGGAGAACTTTACATAGCGTTTGGTACCTTTAAATTACTTTAAGAACTAATCATTTCATCCTCGCAAAGGAAGAGCTACAGAAAGGTGCAAAAAAGATCACAAAGAAGTAAAGCATATTCTTATGACTAAATTGTGATGTTTGCTTTGAAAAACACTGAATACTGACAGATCCAGTTACTCTGCACACTGTCCAGAACTTTATGGACTTGTAAGACTAGACAGACTTGGGGAGCTCATCTGATTCAATTTCTTAATTGTATGGGTAAATTAGGCCCCAGCAGGATAAGGTATCTCATTTAAAATCACTAGATATTTAGAGGAAGACTCAATCAAAAATCTCTTCATTTTTAGCTTATTTTACATTCCAGGATGTCTAGAAAAATTATTACTTATATCCAAAATGTAAATGCAGTGATTGCTGTGGTGGTGGTTGTGTTCTCACTTATGAAGGCTTCAAGTGTAGATCAGTGGTTCTTTTTTGAATCATGAATCTCATTGGGTATCCAGTGAAAGATATGACCTCCTTTGCAAAAAAATAAAGATACATGCGTAAAGATACACAATTCTTTTTCATCTTTTCTGTATATTAATGGACTCAGACTATTAGGAGTGATGGATCAGGTTCGGAAGTCTTTGTAGACAGCAAAAACATGAGTTGGTTCTAATTACGTAAAATATTATGGGGAAATTTTAATTTTGATATTATTATTGCCTTGTTATTTTTATATAACTGCAGAGTACATTGAAGTAAAATATTTCAAAAACTATAATTTTTGGATTGGAGATTATTTAGTTCAATATCTCAAATTTAAAAAGCTGTGATATACTAAGAGTAAAGGACTTGAATTTCCCTGGCTAGTTAATAGCAGAGAAAAGACTATATTATGTTGTATGCATAAATTTATACACATATACTAAACTTAGAGCTGCTTTATGAGAAGAGCCAATTTAAAGGATAAATTTGACTTTTAAAGGATACATTTCTTATCAATACCATCTATTCTGATTTCTGCTTCAACATATTGTGACATTATGAAGTAAAAGGAGGAATTAAATTAAGAAATGCTTATCTTTGTGTTTATTAAATCAGAAAACGTCATTAGCAAAAATCTTCTTAGTATGTCTATATTTTAAAAATATCACCTATTTCTAACTCGATTGTGTAAAAATATAGTATATTTACATTTACAAAAAATTTTGGAAGCAATTTTCATGAAGCTTTAAATTCAAGAAATGTTAACGTTACTTTCAAGGGAAAAGTATTTGAAAACAGAAATACTTTTTGAATTGTTAAATCGATATATTTGTTAACAATCAAGTGGTTTCAGTTTATAAACCAGATACAAGCAAGCAGAATAAATAGGAAATAAATTAAGTGCTATTAGGAAGAATTTTAATATTGCAATATTATTGTAGCCATGTACCAGAAACTTCTGTAAAGGATCACCTGGAGGTGATGGGGCCCTGGCATTTGCCTGACAGTTGATCTGTGTCTCACACTCTGAGAAACCCAAATGCGGATCCTCAGTTCGTCCTGTTGAGGCATTGCTGCCTCCTCCCGAACCGCTGTTGTTTTGGAACAACGGTGTCACATCTGTGTGGGGCGACAAGATTCGTTCCCACTTCCACACTCATTCTGGACCCTTAGAACCTCTGGGAAGGGAAAACTGTTTTGACTTAAACTCCGTCCAGAACACTGGGTTTTGGAAGAAAGTTATTGCCAGGTGATTAATTCTCACTCCGGAGGTTGTCAGCTTGCTAGAGACGGCTGATGTCCGCTCGTGGTGTGCAGGGGATACTTTCTGCCTGCCTCAGCGACTCTTGTCGCTCTGGGCCCAGAGCTCGGCTTAGTACAGTGAACGACTCCTCTCTGCCCCTCCTGCCCGCCAGGGCTTTCAGGGTTCAGGTTTTCGATGTTTAACTTTGAACACCATTCATTTCCAGATAACCTTGACCCAGCTGGCCAAAGGCATCAAATGATCAGGAGTGGGTTCCAACTCTGGGGCCTGCAGGAAGAGTAAGCGCTGGCTCTGCACTTCCTAGAAGTTCTGCCAACTTTGCTCTTGTTGGTTTCCCGACCGGCTCTCTTCAACTCTCTTCTGAGAGCTGGAGAGAATAAAGACGCCTCTTAAACAGCAATGCTAAGGGACCGGTTTAATGCAAACAAGAGGCGTCAGAGTCCGCCACTGGTGTACTTGGGCACCACGTCCCGACTTGGATCCACTCTGCGCTCACCCCTTGGGAATGCGGGACATGAGTAAGATGTGACACCCTGAGCACATCGCTGCTGCTAGAGGACATTGCACGGGGTCTATGCTTTGTTTTGTTTTACTTTTTAACGTTTTTTACTCTCGTGTTCGGCTTGGAAACATGTTTTACTTGCCCACTTTCTCCCAACACATCCTCTTAGCTCTTTTTCTGCATCCCCTAACCCCCAAGATGAACGCGCGTGCCGGCAGCTGTGCTGACTTGACTCCAGTGACCATAGCCCAGCTTCTCAGTCCACTATCCCTGACACCCAGGGTCCCGGGGTCATACTAGTTCACTCGAGGGATAGGGATCCCTCCATCTCGGGATACTACTTTTGGGACTTTTCCGCCCACCGCGGATGAAAGTCAGATAACAACCACTATCAGGGGCGCTACAGCAGCCAGAAGCCCCGGAAGGACTGGGCCAAGCCCCTTCCAGATCCTCTCGTTAGGTCTCAGAAAGACTTTTTTTAGGGTCCCTACTCCCTTTTCATCTGAGCTTTACACTTGACTTCGGCTATGAATTCCCAAAAGGCAGGCAGGCAATGGGGGAGGGACCATGGATGAAAAAATAAGAACTAACAGGAGACACTCAGATTATATATTTATTTTATATAAAGAAATGATACATATGTAATTTTAGATTTTCTTCCGAATTAGAGTTCTGAGGCTATAGAAAACCTATTTTTAACACCCCCTTCTCTCATAACGGCCTTGATTGCTCAAATTGCTTCTAATTGGGTGGCACACATTACTGGAGACGAAGGACGAATGACAAGCAGCCTTCATTCTTTTGCAGATTTAGATAATGTCTCTGGATGAATATCTTTTCTGATCAGGAAGAACAGGAAAACTCTTAAACTGCCTGCAGTTTTCATAAGGGGTTTGTGCAATAGGGGGAAAATGTCCTGACCATCACACAAGCATGCAAATTGATGGCATTTTACAGAAAGCACCGCATAATAATCTAGTACCACCGTTTTTCCTCCCGGATCTGTCATGGTACAAAGAGTAAACATACTTTTTTTTTCTTTTCTTTTCTTTTCTTCTCTTTTTTCTTTCTTTCTTTCTTTTTTTTTTTTTTTAACTCACTTAGCCTTCCTTCCATCTCCTATTTGGGATCTGTAAAAGTTTTCAGTAAACCTCTTTAAAATATATACGTTATCCATATCCCCCTTCCCCTTGTCCAAGGTTTGGTCGGCCCTTAGTGCCCTTGGTGCCGCGTGCCAGCCCTGACAGCCGCGAGCAAGGTCATTATTACCTCGCAGACAGGCGCGTTTCAGAGTCAGCGACTGGCGAATACCCAGGGTCTCCGGGCTATTGGACCACCGAGAAGTGTAACCCCAACTTGAGATTGCTGAAGGCAAGCTTCCAAGGTGAGAGCTGGGTTTCCTTAGGTGCTTTCTGGCCGATCCCGGGTGGGGCACCTCAGAGGCTAGCACTCATCTAAAGCTGGAAGAAGCTGAAATATTATGGACACCTGAACAAATCCGAGACACACATGATGTCTAAACTGCAGTTTCATTTTTCCACTACTCAGAAACAAACAAACAAACAAACACAAAAATAAAGTCATTGTTCTAGGCCAGAGGAAATGTGCCAAGAGTAAGTCACCCTTTCTGTTTCAACTTCAAAGGCAATGAATTTTTCTTGCAATTCTTTTATTTTAGAAAAGAAAACCCAGAATGGCAGGGACAAGCCCCTCCAGGCCACTTTAAATTTCGTCACAGTAGAGTCCTGGGCGGAGAGTGAAAATCCTGGGGTAAGGGTGTTTGTGGGTCTTTTGAATGGAAGCCCACCCAGGGCACCTGCCTGCAGAGTAGGGCGTTGGCACCGCCCGGGGCGGTAGCCCGCCGCCTGCGCCTTTCCACCACGCCCAGGCACAACTTTCCTTTTCTCTGTGTGCATCAAAGTAAGAATGCCCCAATTTTTGAGAAATCTAACACTTCTGCTGCATCAAAGGCCCATTGGCTCTATAGTTTCACATTTTACATTGGTCCTGAGAATGAGGTTATTAGTCTCATAAGAAAAGATTGAGGAGTGAGAAATGCTCAAAGATGGAATTCCAAATTGGCCCCTGCAGTAGGAGTGTGCCGCACCCCGGCCTTGACTGGGTCGCCAAATACTGTCGAAACTTTCTGGCTGCCTTTAGAAAGTCCCCTCTACTAGTCACTTGACGGGCAGGAGGTGCAACGCGGAGGGAAACATCACGGATTGGGGGTACTGGCAACTTTTAAAGGGTCTGAAAAATCCCTCCGATTTAGGGGATGCTTTTCCGCAGCAGTTTAAAAACTGGAAGGCAGCATAAAAGCTTCTACTTTAAAAATGTAGCCCTGGTGATCCAATCCCGATCTTTTGGCTGGCAAAAACGCAATTGCCTGAAAACGAAATTGGCATTCGAATAGGGTCAGGTAAAGCTCAGAGTCCCTGTACTCATTTTGGACTCAAGAAAAGGCGCTTCCCGTCCCTACCTCTTTTAGAAAGAGAAAGGAAAAGGAGGAGAAAGCAGAAAGGGGGGAGAGCCGAGAGCGCAAGAAAGAAAGAGAAGGGGGGGATATTTAGCAAGTTAAAAGGTTAAATGTTGGAACAGATTTGTAAATATATAGACAACCCTCGTTATTTGGGATGTGTAATAATGCCTTTTTGTGGCGCTGTCTGGCTGGGAGGCTGCAGAGGACCGCTCCCCGGCACTTTCTGCACTAGGAAATGAACTGTAAGCTCATGGACTCGAAAAACAAAAACAGGGCTACCCTCCTTTGGAGGAAAGGGGATTCTCCCTCTATTCGGTCATTGAAAAATAAAAAGAAAAGAAGAAAAAAGAAAGTAAAAGGAAAGCAGGAGCAATGAGAAAATTTTATTTTTCTTAGGTATGATTTTTCAGGGAGCAACCCAGAAAGCTATCTTCAGGCTGAAATAATTTAAAAGTATTGTTTAAGCGGATGACATTCTCCAGCACTCAGTTATCCATTGTGCATCTATTATTTCTTTGAACTCAACTCTCTTGTCTAACAAGGGAGTGTGTGTGTGCCTGTTGTGTATGTGTGTGTGTTTAGAAAACCTCGGTTCTCCAGTGGTGCTTCCGTGGCTGAATAGGGTGGTTTTCTTTCGTTTTTCTCACATTGATGTTTTCTGGACAACTGTACTGAGCGCTGTTGATGGCATCGGTGCTCTGCCCGTGCCCGTGGGCGGAGGACATAGGCTGTGGGTGTGTCCCGCCCGCAGGCGCGCGTGCGTGCGTGTGCGTGTTTGTGTGTGTGTGTATACACGTATTCTCTGGTGTGCATCAAATGGAGTCTTTTTCTTTTCTTGCCCGTGTCTGCGTCCTGCGTATATTAGTATTATGCAAATAGAGTCATTTCGCTTGAGTATTTTTTTTTTGGAGGGGGAAGGGATGAACCATTTTAATTCTTCTCTAGTATTTTCTCGCAGTCTTTCCACTGAGTGTGAATTCATTTGGATGCCTTTTCTGAGGTTCGTGTGTGTGTGTGTGTGTGCGTGTGTGTGTGTGGAGGGGGAGACTGCGTGACGGTCAGTGGGTGTGGTGTGTGCCTTGGTGTGTGGGAGAGCGTGCACAGTCTGTGAGGACCTTGTGAGCGATATGTGTTCTCTCCAGGTGTTCTGTTTGTCTTTGCCTTCCGTGCTTTGCGTTCTCAGAGGTGATTATGTGCACATTTACATATATGTGCCTATTCTCCTGCATTCATGTATTGTCTTTCTCCACAATCCACACATTTCATATATATTCTCTTATCTTTTGGCAAAGTGCCTTTTTATTCCTCGAAGAATATTTATTGATGTGATAATCTGAAATGAAAAGTGGTCTCCCATGAAGGAGATGGAAGAGAAAGGAGTGTTCATCTTTCTTAATAGACGGGGCAGAGCCAGTTGACTGGATCACAGGGTTTCTCTGCACTTTCTGCGTGTGTGTCTGTGTATGGGGGGTGGGGGTGGGGTGGGGGCGGGGGCGGGGGCGGGGGAGTAGGGAAAAGGAGCCTTTAACCAGAACAAAGATGGGCCATCGCGCCCCCTTGCGGACAGGCTGCATATCGCGCCGACCAGGCCCGCCCCGGCTTTCTTTAGTCGAATGAATCTTGTAATTTCTTCCGTTAAACCATTCAGGAGTCGTCTCTCAGTCCCAGCCCCCGGCCATCAGCCAATCACCAGGCGCCATGCAAATCACCTCTTCCGTTCTCTAAACCCGCGTCAGCCGCAGCGGCTGCTCTGGCTGCCCCGCCCCAGCTTCATTTCCTCCCCTCCCCTCCCCTTCCCTCCTTCGCCCCCGCCCGAGCAGCTGCCGGGGAAGAGGGCAGTGCTGGGTGCCTCATGCATATGCAGACCGATCCTCCTCCTCCCTCTACCTCCTGCCCCCTCCTGCCTCCTCCTCCCTTCCCCTCACCGCCACCGCCTCCTCCCGTTTCCCCTGCCGCGCCCGCGCTCCTGGACGTGCAGTTCTCCGAGCTCTGGTCCCGAGCAGCTGTTTCTCAGAAGAAGGCCTACGTGCGCTCTTGGAGCAGACGAGGGAAAGGGAGGAAGGCTCTACCCTTAAAATCCTCTCGAAGGTCAAGTTTGAGGCTTGCCGAACGGAGGAGAAAAGTGTCGAAAAATGCCGCTACAGGGTTTGCGGGAAGGTTCTGCACGGAGACTGAGTTGGAAATGCCTTTCTCCCCCTAAACACCAGATTAATTTCTCTGAAACACACAGTGTATATTGGTCACGTCCAAAGGATGATGATAGATGGTTTTGTAAGCCAAGAGTACAGTGTGCATTTGTCTTGTATATCAAGGCTACAATGAAACCACGAAGAACTGGAGAGGAGATCACCCAGCGTTAGATCTGCTTAATAGGAGCGGGGAGAGCAAGTGAGGAGTGGAGATGGGGGGCGGGGCGAGTGGTGGCCCAAGACCTGCTGCAGGTGGGCTGTTCCCTGTCGGCTCCTGGACTAGGACTGGTAAGCCTACTAAGAGCGCAAACGGGGACCCATGAAAAGAAAAGAAAAAAATTCCTCGAGAAAAAACAAGACCCGGGAATAGTTTGTTACTGTTATTTACATCCAGACTCTGGTTTCCCGGCCCTTTACAGCTGCTGGTGAAGAGTATTCAAGCTTTAAATACTGCTCTGAACTGACCTTGAGGCACATTGAGAGGAAAAATCACTGGAGAAAATCGCGGTTTGTGTAGTGCTTTGAGATCCTCTAACGCGAAAGCAAGAGAATTGTGAAGTGACCTTGTTTCATAGATTTCTTTACGTCCACACTGGAATACTAAAGGACTTTTCAGTGAGAATTGAGTCAGTTCCCCCTTAAATCTTACACCGTGGAGAAGTGAGTAGAGAGCCCTAGATTTAAAATAACATTTTGTCAGCTTTTATTCTTTCAACACATTTTTATGAAGTGGTACTTATTGTGTGCCAGGTACACAGCATCTTTTTCCATGCGAAACACATTTCGCAGGCAGTGATTTGCAGGTGTACCGGAAATTAGGGAAAGGGATAGGAATTCTGGATGCTTTTTGTTCTGGAATTGCTCATCGTGTTGCAAGAAGAAGAGATATAATAACAGATAAATGTGGCACAGTGTAACTTGGAGCATGGAAACAGCTTAAATATCTGTCAAAAGTGCAGTGAATTAATATATTGGCATATTCCTACAGTGAAATACTCTTTAAGAATGGACTATCTTAAAAGCAATGTTGGATGAAAAAAAGCAAATTGCAAAAAACGCATGTGATATTGGCCGGGCGTGGTGGCTCACGCCTGTCATCCCAACACTTTGGGACATCGAGGAGGGTGGATCACGAAGTCAGGAATTTGAGACCAGCTTGGCCAAGACGGTGAAACCCCGTCTGTACTAAAAATACACAAATTAGCCAGGTGCGGTGGCGGAGGCCTATAATCCCAGGTACTGGGGAGGCTGAGGCAGGAGAACCGCTTGAACCCTGGAGGCAGAGGTTACAGTGAGCCGAGATCGCTGCATTCTAGCCTGGGCTACAGAGCAAGACTCCGTCTCAAAAAAATGTGACATTGATGTAATATTAATATCTATTAACATAAAATTATCCTCCCCGTAACAAAATTTGTTGGTACATAACTATGTAATAAAAATATAAAAGCATATTGGGGAAGAATGTGTGCCAACTCCAGCATGGAGGAGACCCCTGAAAGAGAAGGATATTGGCTGTATGAGTAATGTTTATTTTCTTTAAAAAAAAAAAAATCTTAGAAGCGGGAACATAGAGAGTTATGGGGAGGCTTTATAGAAGAGTTGACATTGAAGCTAAATTCTTGAAAGTGATAAGCAGGAGTTTAGTGGGAATATTTGAAAGACAATTCTTGAATACATGAGAATGAGAAATAAACTATGTGAAGTGTTTACACTTTTGATATTTAGTTTAACTACAGTAAAATTCACTTTTTCAGGGATATAAATTCTTTGAGTTTTACCAATGTGTAATGTAATCACGACCACAAGCAATAAATAGAATTCCATCATCCTCCAAAACTTCTTTGTGTTGCCCTTTGTAGTCAATCCCTCCCTATATCCTGTAACCCTGGAAACCACTGATCTCTTTTCCATTCCTGTAGTTTTGTCTTTTACAGAATGTCATATAAATAGAATCATACAGCATGTAGCTTTCTTCTGTCTGGCTTCTTTTTACTAGCATAATGAATTTGATCTTCATCTGTGTTGTTGAGTGTATCAACAGTTTGCTCTTTTTGATTGCTGAGTAGTATTTCATTGTATGAATGTACTACAGATGGTTTATCCTTTTAACGGTTGTTGAAGGCCATTTGAGTTGTTTCTGATGTACAGTTTCTTGATTCCAGGGACTGGGTTCATTGTTGTCATGTATACTGGGGGTCTTCTGTGAATGGCTATTGTATTACAGGTAATTAGTGTGTACAGTTATTTCCCCTGAGAAGCTAATCTATAATCTGGTGTTACTGTGTAGAGCTAGGTAAAAACCTACCCAGCCAACTATATAAAAAAACACACATGTTGACAGTCTTTCAGAAGTTGCCCTTCAGCTTACTTACTGTAGTGAGTTCAATAGAAGAGACTCACTAAAGATGCCGGTTGATGATCAGCATGTGTGAACTTACATATATGTAGTGGAGGATTTAAATTTCTTATTCTTTGAGCACCTATGGATTTCCTAGTGTGGAATTATTCCTTGTTTCTAAATATTTCCTAAATTCTCCTTGAAAGATTAACCTTTGCTTTCTGAGGTCTGAGTGGATCTTTACTGGCAGGCAGCGTCCCCATACATTTGATACACGATGACAAATTCACATCCCCAGTGAAGGAGCTCTGAACACTTGTAAGGATTCACAGTAATTCCAGATTCTGGTCTGTACTGTCAACACTCAAGTGTTTAATTTCCTCTTGTTTGTTTCTCATCAGGACCCTGAAAAGCTGATAGCTGGGGTACATAGATTGGGTGCTGAGTTCAGGCACAAAGTAAGGAAGCCTGTGATACACAAGTACTTATTAATGTATCCCTTGAATTCCAAAGTCAAATATCAACTCTTTGTTTATATTGATAGCCTTATTTATTTATTTAAAAAATCTCTAGTTCCTCATGGCTATCTGAAAGCTCTCTTTTGAAGGCAGCTGTAAGAGTCCATAATGTGCAAGATGGTAAGAAGAAGTGTAAATAAACATTCACAGATTGACGTCCTTTTGGGTGTGGTTCAGAGTCAAGAAAGGACAATCCCAACTGTAAAGACTGTTGGCAGTATTGGGATTGAAGGGGTGCTATTGTCTAATCCTAGTGCTCTTGCTGGAATAGGCTGTGTTTTGAACTTAAAATTGTATCCAGTTGCTAAATGTGAGACTGCATGTCATCCCTAGTTTTAGTTCTTCTAATCAGCATCACCCTCTGGCAAATGACACTAGAAAAAAGTTTTAACTAATAATTCAACTAAACAAATAGTAAAATAAACAATAGGAATTTCCTTTGGATACATTCTTAAGTAAACATTATAAAGGTTATAAATCAAGGGATGTAAATGCCACATTTTGACTTTGTTGAGCTCTGTGCCACCTTGGAAAAAAAAGCCTACTTTATTTGTACCACAATTTTATCTCTTATAAAAGGGCAGAGGACTAAATATGTTGCTATTTATGATTTAAGATTCCCCCGGCAAGAAGCACTTTATGAACCCTAGACTTTGCTGTGATAGAGCTCTTTCATTAATCTTGCCAAATGCAATGATTGAGGCATCCACTGTTTTCCCAATTAATTATAACACACCCAAGCTTCATGTTTGCCGGTGCACTTTGAAGATTTTGAAAAGTGGCCATTTCCTCAAAATAACCTAGTTTACAGCCCTTATTCATACAAGGTAATTTAGAGCATGCACTCATAACTTGTTTAGTAAGCATGTCCAAGCTAAGAAGTGTTGGCCCTGTGAAGCTCATCAGTCCAGTGACTTAACAGTAGTACTTCCATTAATAGAAGATCACCAGCTGGGTGCGGTGGCTCACGTCTGTAATCCCAGCACTTTGGGGAGCCAAGGTGGGCAGATCCCAAGGTCAGGAGATTGAGACCATCCTGGCTGACACAGTGAAACTCCATCTCTACTAAAAATACCAAAAAATTAGCTGGGCATGGTGGCAGGCACCTGCAGTCCCAGCTATTTGGGAGACTGAGGCAGGAGAATGGCCTGAACCCAGGAGGTAGAGATTGCAGTGAGCCGAGATTGTGTCACTGCACTCCAGCCTGGGCAACAGAGCGAGACTCTGTCTTAAAACAAAACAAAACAAAACAAAAAAACAAACAACAAAAAAACCCCAAGCAAGCGAAGGTCACGTTTGTGCTTTGTGCTATAGATAAATTGGTGCTGACTTAGTACCAAGACTGTGATTTCTAATGAAAATTAAACTATTGATGGAAAAAGAAAAAACAGAAAAAAAAAAAAAAAAGAAGAGACACCTTCCAAATGACCACCAATTTCATAATCATGGATTAAGCCAGTGAAGCTTTTTCTCTTGCAGGCACTGTGTTTTAAAATGAGATTCTGTTTAAGAGTGTTACAGTAGCGTAATATAAATCGGTGGCTATGGCTTTTTAAACTCTGGTTCTTTCTCCTGTAAAGCAGCATAAGTGAATGCCTTATCATAATGTCGGAATAATGACATCTCAAGGCCTGTGTGCTGCATTCACAAGCAAGGAGAGTCCCAGAACGAGGTTGACTCAGCAGTACCTGACCAGGCTGCTTAATGCACTGATGAATACCATTGCCCCTAGGAATTAAATATAGAGGTGCCTGGAGCTTGTGTAAAGTTCTCTGTGCCATTTGAAAAAGGTACTCGGAGAAAAGATGGGCTGATTTTTAATTTTCATGTTTTACTCATCTGTTTAAGTACATTTATGGTTTGCTTTGCAAAATGTCAACAGACATCCCAAGTGGTTAACATTTTTAAAAGACTGAATATTCTGTATTTACTCTAATACCATTTTAAAAATGTGGTCATCAATGCCTACAGGTTCATCTGTTAAGACAATCCATTCAAATGATTATTAAAAAAATAAACTGCATAACATTTTTTGTTATTTTCCCCATTGTCTCGAATTCTCATTGATTAGAATTCCAGCAAGATAGAAGTAAAGGTTTCATTTTAGTTTTGGTGCATTTAGGAAGGACTCCAAGTGAAATTTCCATCTATAAGATGGCTAAAGGATACTCTGAGAAGGAATTATCTGTTACCTACTAGTATTAGTGTCCCTTATTATATTATACACACCATTATACATTTGTATATTATATACTCAATGATTGACAAAGCACTTTCATATAAATTATCTCACAACAATCTTATAAGGCAGATTGTTAAAGGCAATTATTATCTTTATTTTACGTTGAAAGATACTGAGGTTCAGAAATATTTAAAATAGCTGTCACTTTAAGGAGTATACTTAATGGCAAGTAGTATTCTAATAACTTTACATGTTTTAATTCCTTTGATCTACACAGCAGCTGCAGGAAGTGGATAGTGTTATCATCATCCTCATTTTATAGATTAAACCACAAAAGTACAGAGAAGTCAAGTAGCCTGTCCAAAGGTGCACAGTGGGCAAATGGTAGAGTCAGATGGTGATACACCCAGTCTAATTCCAGATGGAAGTGCCTACTCATCACATCTCTCTGCTTATCCAAGGTTCAGCAACTTGCCTCAGGAAATTTGTCCATTAAGTATTGAATCCTGAATTAGAGCACGGGTCTCCTGACTTCCAGCAAAAATGCTTTTCCATCATGCATTTTGTTGTGACTTCTCTCATTATCTTTTGTTTTATCTCATGTTATGTTTTACTACGTTGTGTACTTCTCATCCTCCTCCTAATGGAATGTGAGTTTCCTCAGTGTCAAAAAGAGAGGATGATTCTTTTTATATGTGGTCTTTCCCCTTCATACCTGAAAATTCTCCTAACACAAGAGGTAGACTTTTAAAATGTGTTAAGTTGAATCAACATCGTAGAACTCTCTGAACACTTTAAGCCTAAAACTTACAATTGGAATTTTGATGACATAAAAATAGTTGACAATGGGAATGGGACAGTAATTAAACTAAAAAAGGAAAGGAATGATGTGATAGAAAGAAGCAAGATAACAACAAAACAACAATGTTCATACAGCCCTTACTATGTGCTACACACTTTTCATGGATCAACCTATTCAGTCCTTACAGCAATCTATTATTATCTCCATTTTGTGAATGGAAAGACAGGCGCAGAGGTTAGATAATCAGTCACAAATACATGTGTTTGTGGTCATATGTATGTAATACAGGGAGGGAAAAAAAAGCGATATATATTGCTTGGTTTCTCCACCTCCCAAGCCAAGAATTTCCTGTGGTTTTCTGGGTGTATGTATTTGTTTGATTTTTGTCAGGTAGTTTCTATTCTATATGCCCTATTCTACTGATTTTTCTTCCTCCAGTCTAGTCTCTGCATAACACCACAATTATTTTTCTAAAATACATATTTGATCCTGCTCCTCCTTGGTTTAGAATGTTTTTTGACTCCTGACCACTTACAAGTTATGTGACCTGCTACACCATAGCCCTGTTTTACATTTTTATAATCATTTTTGCCTTTTTCCCTAGACCTTTTATTATGATTATATTTAAACCCTCTTTCATCCCTGGGTGGACCATGTACTTTAACTCTTTTGTGACTTTACCCAGGTTGTTCACTCTACCTGGAATGTTGTTCCGCTCATTTTTACCTGGCGAATTACACTCATCCTGCAGGATGAAATTCAAATGTATTTCTTTTTGGATTTTTTTATGATCCGCAGATAGAATTAATATATAACCCTATTAATATATACATTTGACCCTTGCACAACATTGGTTTGAACTGCACAGG